TCTACCGTTGAGAGCTTGTTGAATGTTTCTCTTGTTTCCCTTCTTTCTGTCATGTTTCTCATCTGCCTGTAAATTCTTATATCCTGAAAGGCTCTCTGCTACTTAAGAATGAAGTTTGTGTGTGTTTGTTTTGTTTTTGCATTTCAGTTGTTCAAGAGACCTTATCGAATGTAACTGCATGCCTGGAACTGGTGTATTTTCTTAGTTCTTCTAGCATCTGTAACCTTTGTGAGAAACGGGTGGGTAGCTGTGTTGGTCTGAAGCAGCAGAACAAAGTTGGAATCCAGTGGCACCTTTAAGAGCAACAACCTTTTATTCAAGGTGTAAGCTGTCGTGTGCACACACATTTCTTCAGATACAGAAGTATCTACAGGTATATGAAGAAGCGTGCTTGCAGACGAAAGCTTATACCTTGAATAAAACTTTGTTGCTCTTAAAGGTGCCCCTGAACTCCAACTTTATTCTTTGATAGAAAGTGGGTGTTATTGCCTAGGGACATAAGTGGATCCATCTTACGCAGAGCAGAGTTGGGGTCGTTTCCATCCACTGATCTCAATATGACTATGTGCAAGTAAGTTTGTAAATGGCTGGGTTTTTTGTAAGCTTATGTACTGTTCTGGGGAGTAAATGTCATTGAATAGTAAGGATTGTGTTATAAGTAAACATGCATAACATCTGGCTGCAGCCTTTTAAAGAATGGCAGCACTACCTGTGATCCAGAATCTGCTTTTTCCCAGACAGAGGACAATGATATACATGTTTCTAAAAATCCATTTCAGTGTTTGATTTGAAAGTAAATGTTCTGAATTTACTTATATTTCATTACCAGTTTCTTATCTTAATAGCAAACTTTATTAAAATATGAAACCACTGCAATTCAACTTCCATTAGGAAAATATCAGTGCTGCTGAAATGTTAACAATAAAAAACAAATGATATTAAATGATTTTGTTAATTTGAATATTTGTCTCTCTTGCATACATTACCAGGTCTCTTGCCTTCGGTAATATTTACCTTTTGAATGGACTAAGATGAGAGTTTCTCCTCAGATTTTGCTACAGATGTTCCTACAATTGAAGAGGCAAGACGCTTAACTAAGCCATACTTTGCCTTTTGGTCTATGGCTGTCATATCTGTGCCTCGTTCCTGTTGCAGTTCCTTCAACAGTGACATGATAATCAAAAATTATTAGGCAGCCCTCGTAAGTACACGGAGAAAAAGTGTTCATTTACTAATCTCTGCAAATCAAGCTGCTGTTAAAGATACAAAGCAGTGATGAAATGATTCAGCATTATATAAAATTTGGGGAGACATTTTTCAATGCAATTCTGAGCAGAGTTTTACCTTTCTGTGTTTATTGATGTCACATCAATATTGGCACAATTGGCACAATATTGGCACATCAATATATGCACAATGGCATGACTCTGCTTAGGACTGCACTGCTGTGCTCCGTTAAAAACATGTAGGTGGCATTTTTTTAATAAAAGAAAGATTTTTCAAATAAAATAAAACACAGAAATAATTTACAGTATATCATGATAAACCCATAGCAACTCAGCATACATGTTTATAAGTAATTTATTAATCCAATGGCTAATGATCCAGAGTAGACCAATTAACCTGCAGGTCAACCACATATACCTCAAATAGGTCTCACCTTCATCTTTATGCTGGTAGCAACAAACCTTGCTTTTCAAAGAGAGATAAATGTATCCCCATTTCCCATAGTTATCCTGATCAGACAGTGCAGTCTGTACTTAGCTCATAATTCTTCCTTTTCTGCAAACACCGCCGTGTATGGGAGAACACAGGACCTAGGAATCATATTGCTGGCAATGATTGCACCCACAGACTGAACACTTAATAATATATCAAAACATATTGCCCCACCCCCAATGAGTTATACCTGTGCGGATTATCTTTCTTTTTTTCCAGATATGTTAAATTAGTATGTAAAATAAAAGTCACCAAGAGAGACAATACCAGCCACAACAAAAGTAGACAACTAAACTTATCCAGGGAATATGAGAACACTCATCAATCATTTTGATCTATTATAAAAGGTTCATCATATGATTAGGGGGAGAAAATCTTTTCAGGTGATTTAAGCCCTGGGATATGCAATACCAAAAGAGAGTTTGTTTGGTTTTGAAAACATGAAGAATTGATTATGTCTCTGGAGAAATAGTAATTGTTAAAATCCTAAGCACTATCACAACAATTCTACGGTACTTTTGTGAAGCAGCTCAAATAAACCACTTAAAAAGCACATCCATTTGTCTCAGGATGAAATCTGGGAATGGGGGAATTGGTTTCAAGCCACAGAGTCTTGAATTAGAGAGCAGAAAAGATCAATAGAATTGACTAGATTTTTCTCCATCCACTTCTTCATCCCTAAGGGCCATAAACACTAGAACTTCATGATTTGGGGCACTGAGAAGATCATGAAAAAATTATGCTAAAAGCCATAACATCAAAGAAAGCATTTAATTTTGTTTTGCAGTGTCAGGAAGGTCATGATCAATGTTCCCTCTAAGCTATGGAGTCCTTTGACCAAAAAATCTACTTCGTGAGTGACTGGTATTAAAGTTGTGAGCAGGTGATTTAGCTGCTGCATACCTTAGTTCACTCTGGAGCCCTCCTTCCTGAGCTAAGGCAAAAATGTGTGAGCCGGAGGCTAAAAAACTGTGAGCTGGCTCACACTAACTCCACTTAGAGGGAACACTGGTCATAATTATCATTTTCATTAAATTTCAGGCTACCCCTGTCTTGTCAGATCTCAGAAGCTAAGCAGGGTCAGCACTGATTGGTACTTCTATGGAAGACCACAAAGGAAGTCCAGGGTTGGTACACAGAGGCAATAGCAAACCACTTCTGTTTTAAGGTTACCAATCCCTAGTTGTGGATGGGAGATCCCCCAGTTTGGAGCCCCTCTCTCCATTTCAGGGGGAAATGGTCGCTGAGCACTCTATTATACCCAATGAAGACCAGTCCCCATAGGGTATAATGGAGAATCAATATGTGGTTATCTGGGGCTATGGGCAGTTGTTTATTTAGGTAGAGGCAACAAAATTTCAGCATAGCTGGTGGTGCCTGTCCTCAAAGAAAAACCCGTTTCAAAAAGATTAGACCAGGGAGTCCAATTCTATGAGCCCCGAAATAAGGTGCCCCCATCCTCCATTATTTCCAATGGAAGGAAGGAATAACACAATCCCTTTAAATGTGATGGCCAGCTCACCTGAAACTAGCTTTGGAGTTCAATTGCACTTCTTCCCTCCCCTCTCCCAGAGCCTGCTAATAAGTCACATGGAATTCACTGCCATAGGAAGTGGTGGCGGCTACAAGCATGGATGGCTTCAAAAGGGAATTAGATAAGCATATGGAGCAGAGGTCCATCAGTGGCTATTAGCCACAAGGTATAGATAGGGGCTCTGGGGCAAGTGATGCTCTGTCTTCTTGGTGCTTGGGGGTGGGTCAACAGTGGGAGGGCTTCTAATGCCTTGGCCCCACTGGTGGACCTCCTGATGGCACTGGTATTTCTGGCCACTGTGTGACACAGAGTGTTGGACTGGATGGGCCTTTGGCCTGATCCAACATTGGTGTCTCTTATGTTCTTATGTTATGTTCTTAAGTCCTTTACCAGCTTGTCAGCCTCACCAGGCAACCATACTCTGTTTGTGTCTTGTCTTGAAAACTGTACAGGTAAACCATAAGTTGGCCATGACTTAATGGCACTTTCCACCCCCAGATACTGTTTCAGAAATTCATTTTGGAAATACTGTTAATACTATTTTGATTTCAGGAATATCAGTAATCAGTAGGGGATAGACCTGGCTTCCAAACATGAATCAATGGGACAATGTGTCTACTGCCTATTGGAATCAAAGGGATGGGGGTAGACCTGGTCTCGGGATGCCAGGCTGACCAAGCATTCAAAACGTTTGATCATGAATACTCATAATTAAACAAGGCTCTCTTGCTATTTTGGAGAGCTGAATTTCAAAAATAACAAAATATCTAGGGTGCCTTCTTTTGGGTATTTCTAATCTGAAGTGTTTTGTACTAGCAATATCCAAATGCACATCCTTACAGATGGCTTTTGTAGGTTGACCAAAAAACAGCAAGGCACAAATGAAGAGCAGGATGGAAATGCAAAGAGTAGATGTCATATTTTGGTTGTTTTCCTTGGTTATATGTATGACTTTGTATTTAATGAAGGTTCTCAGGACTAATGTTAAAACAAAAGAAAAAGAAAGAACAAAAGTGGCTAGAATCATCCCCAACTCTCCACAAGACTGGAAGGTTATATTTTGGGGTATGCAAAAATCTCAACTAGTGTTTGAATAATGGTGTTCTGGCCCTTTAGATCAGTCATTCATGCCTGAAAAGAAATGTCATCCCTAGGTATGGCGCATCACAGTAATCAAGAATCAATATGACAAGATCCTGAAGGATGAGTGCTAATTTGATATCTAAAGGACACATTTCTTCCCTTCTTATGCAATTATGTTTGCATAGATAAAGGGGCCTGTGCTTAAAAGACAAAGGATAATGTTTTACCATTCACAGTATATGCTTTTGGAACTTGTATCTCACGGATAAATGCCAAGTGAAGATACAGGTTGTACCACTAGGGGACAATGGCTATCTTTCTACTTTGTCTCCACACCCAAGAAGGAAGATGTCAAATTCAAATGCATGGGTTAAAAAATAATTTATTAATAGATGATCTGCACACACTGTTAAGTATTCCCACCCATTTAGTGTGGGTTACATTATCTAATAGGACAGTCACTTTAACTGCCGGCATTTGGGCAAAACCTACTCTGGTTCCAACCTCATCATGGCATGGCTGTGTGTCTCAGTTTTTCTTGCCTGCATACGACTCCGAGCCAAAAAGTGCTGAGCCTTTTCACCCTCTCCCCATGCTGGTCAACCTGATCCTCTAATTATCTCTGAACATTTTTCATATCTCATCTTTATTCTTCATACTAATTTCATATTTGTGAAGGAAGGCACGTTTGTCCTATTGCTTTCTTAACAGCAGTTTTTACCTCTTGGTTCCTTAGGGTGTAAATCAAAGGATTCAGAACAGGAGTGACCACAGTGTACATAAGGGTGACCATCATTTCCTGCTCCAAGGATTCTCCTGAAGACGGAGGAACATAAGTCAAGATGGCTCCAGCATAGAAAAGAGTTACAACTGTGAGATGTGAGGCACAAGTGGAAAAGGCTTTACTTCTACTTTTCTTCGATTTTACTTTCAATAAAAGGAAGGAAATGATGTAGGTATAGGATAGAAATGTAAGCAAGAAAGGAAGGACAACAATTAGGCCTGTGATGATGTTAAGGAGGCTGAGATTGAGGGCAGTGCTACAGCAAGCCAATCTCAAGAGAGGCTTGATATCACAGAAGAAATGCTGGATTAAGTTTGGGCCACAGAAGTGCAGTTTGGAAGTCATAATGGTGTGCATTAGAGCATGGAAGAACCCAGTAGTCCAGCTACTCATGGCCAAAACAATGCAGGCCTTCTTGCTCATGATGACAGTGTAACGTAGTGGATTACATATGGCCACATAGCGGTCATATGCCATGACACCTAGCAATAGCGCCTCACTGCTCCCTAGGAAATGGAAAAAATGAAGCTGAGAAAGACATCTGATCAATGAAATTTTCTGTTGCTCCCAGAGAAAGCCAGCCAGCATCTTGGGCACAGTGACCGTGGAGTAGCAGATGTCCAAGCAGGAGAGGTTTCCAAGAAAGAAGTACATTGGGGTATGCAGGCGTGGTTCAACTGTTGTTATCAACAAAATAGTGGTGTTTCCTAGCACGCTGGTCAAATACAGTAGTAAGAAGAGGAAGAAGAGGAAGTCTTGCCACCCAGGGATATTTGTTAGGCCCATGAGAATGAACTCACTCACATCTGTATGGTTTTCCATCACTGAAAACAAAAGGGAAAAAAATTAAGGACAAGTGTTATTATTAAAGGATGCTATCAATGTGAAAAAAATATTGTGAATATATATATAAAAATTAGATTGACGTAGACCTGGAAGTGTGAGACTAAAGAAACATATCAGAACTTAAATCTGCTGTTGTAGGCTTCAGTCTACCTAATGAATGGAACTTATTCTTGTAGGATACACATCTATCTAGACTCTTCTAGTCTACACTGAGAGAATGGGAGTTAAAAATGTATATATGTATAGATTTATTTGGGCAGCCTTTCTCATGAGGACTCAGGGCAGATTACACATAGTGAGACAGTACAATCAACAAAATGGGACATCCAATAGACAATGCACTAGAATTGTAGAAGTCTGGAACCAACCAGAAATCTCAAAGACAGAACCGAAGCATGGCATGTATTACCATTACACATTCATTGGTGCAAAAATTATGTAATAGGATCCTACTTTCAGTAAGCTATACACATCAGTATGGAACACAATTCCTAATAATTTATTCAGATATGTTCAGAAACTATTTTGTACAGTGCAACCCTATTACCTGCACAAAAAGGCCCTCTCAAATAATTCTTATTACACATTCTGAACTTTCATTTGGTTCTTCCCTTACTATATCTATTTGCTTGACAAGAGCATGGACAGACAATGCTCAAAAAGTAACTGCATCTCCAACCCCCCTTTTGTGTTCCAAGAACTGTGTATGTAAAGTGCTGTCAAGTCAAAGTTGACATATGGTAACCCTTCATGGGGTTTTCAGGGCAAGAGATGAAGAAAGGTCTGTGTAGCAACCCTGAATTTCCTTGGTGGTCTCTTATCCAAGTACCATCCAGGGGACGACCCTGCTTAACTTGTGAGATCTGCTGAGACTGGGCTAGCCTGGGCCATCCAAGAATTACACTATTGAATAAGGTGTACATTTGGTAATGTTGAAATAATTGTTTCTTATTGGTTTCTGGTTTCCTCACAAAGTCGTCACCAGCATTTCACTGGGAGTTTGTTATGGCAAGATTACTGTCTTATTTTGAACAGTTTTGTGATAAAATTGATATAGCTCCTAGGTAGAGAAGGATGTGTGAACATTAGTTGACATCTACAAAAATAATGGTTTCTGAAGCTGCCTGTTACTGTTCAACCACTGACCCATCAGTAGTGCCTTCTTTAAAGGGCAGAACCCTCTTTCTTTTTGGCAGATCCTTTTACCCAGAGATAAAAGCTGCAGCCTTCTGAAATGTGAAGCCCCTCTCCACAAAGTCCATGGATAGTTGGATACAGACCATTGCCTTCCTTTGTGTCATTATTATTTATTGTTTTCCATCCCACGTCGTTCTGTTTTTTCACATCCCTCTGAAACTCTTCTTTTGTTCCTTTACAGTTCTAAAGATAATTTATTTTCGGAGCCAGATTTTCATTACCCAATGTTGGTGGTCTGTATTTGAGATTGAATAAATGCATAATCGTCCTGTCATTTAAAGACAACGTTGGTGAAATTAATTATCCTCCATACTTGCATTTTTCTTTGCTGAAATCAGCCGCTCCACCTGTTGTTGCCGCACTCACCTGTGAGTGAGTATAGTTTTTCTCTGTTGAAGACATTCGGGATAAAATGGTATGACAAGCAGTTGCTGGTAGAGGGCCATCATCCTTTTATCAGAGTTCTGTTCCATGAAATTATCTCATGGGGGAAAATGATGCCTCTAATTGCTCTCTTTGGGAGAGAGTATGTGAATAAAAAAGAGCTGTATACAGACAACTGTAAAAAAAAGTATTGGACCTCCTTGGGGAAGTGAAAAGTAATAGATTGGCAAATTATACATAAGAATGAATATAATTTGTTTATTCATCAATTCATTTAAAAAAATAGATATATACCCTGCCTTTCCAAAGTTCGGTCTCAACAAAGGCAGCCCTCATACATGTAGATCTCCCATGCTATAATAAACAAGTATTCTCCTTCATCCTACATTTGATGTCCATCTCATAGGACCAATGGGCTGGAGGGCATGAGACATTGGTGCAGGCACGGCGATGGCAGTGAGTCAAAAAGTAAACATTTCCTGAAATCACCTGCCTCCTACATTCACCTCCTACATTCACCAACCTCCAGGTAGAGCCCAGAGCAACTGCTCTTCAGATTACTGAAACTGGTCCCCCGGACGAATGGCAGATTTAGAGGGATGACACTCTGACATCGCTGAGCTGTCTCCCCTTGTCAAAATCTGCCAGTTTGGTATAGATTCCCCACTCCTCCACTTGCAGGTCACTGCTTGATGACCTTGGGCAAGCCATAGTTCTGACAAGAGCTGTCCTTGAAAGGGCAGTTCTTGAAAGAGCTCTCTCAGCCCCACCTGCCTCACAGGCTGTCTGTTGTGGGGAGGGGAGGGGAAGGGAAAGGAGTTTGTAAGCCGCTCTGAGACTCTGAGTGAAGGGCAGGGTATAAATCCAATCTCCTCCTCCTCTTCCTCCACCTCCTCCATCCCAAGGCACCATCACAAAATCTCCAGGCTCCTCAGACTAATCTGGAAGCAGGGTGATGTGTGATGTGTATGATGAGATCAGGCCTGGATTAAGGCATGCTGACACCTTCAGCAAAGTCAAATCTAAGGTGCCCCATAGCATGATGAAAACTGGTGACCTGGAGAATTTTTAGTATTTTTTTAGAGACCCGTCAAAACCTGAGGCCTCGAATTGTAGCTTGCTAAGCTTGTATGTAAATCCAGCTCTGTCTGCGGAAGAGGTGATCAGGAAGCTTCTCCTACTGTACACTTCTTCCTACTGATGACTGATCTGATGACAATTAGAATCCCACAGAATCTGACCCCATCTGGCAGACAGCCACCCCGCCATACTGCTGGGGGCTGCCTTTGCCTCTTGTGAAGGAGGAAGAGATACGCAGCATCTGGGTCCTGGCTGGGGGCAGAAGCTGGTGCATTTTAATGGTTGGCTCCACTCCTGCCTCTTCAGTCACCCTTGCAAGCTCGGCCCACCCTCCCACCCTGATTTCTGTACAGGCTTTGGCTGGTCAACTGTTTTGTGGGGGTCAGGTAGGAATTTTTGATCCCTGACTGATTGGTATGGTGTCAGGGATGTTTTTTCACCTACCGTGTATGGCTAATCGGCAGGCTGTGGAATTGGCATATGGTGGTGCTGTTTCATTAGGTTGGTCCCTTTAGGTGGGTGCTGGTGCTGGTGAGTGACATCCAGCTAGGGGAACGCCAGTTAGCACCCCCAGTATGCGGGCTAGGAGTCTGGCAGGAGTAACCATTGGGTTGTGTGACCCAGGGTGAGGAATGCAGACTGCCTTTTGGGAACTGCGTGGATTGATCCTCCACCTAAGGTGTGCAGATTGGTGGCTGGATCTCCATGGCATGGCCTGCTTGCTGTGCCAGCCTGGTGCAAGCCACACATATTGGCTCAAGCCAGGGGCAGGGTGGCTTGCTCATTATACGACTGGGGAGAGGTCAGAAATGACCCCTGGCCTTAACCGTGCCACAAGTTAGATTTGCCCTTGCCATTTATTTGCAGGTTAATAAGTTAGATAAAGTGGCCTTAGTTTACCCAATCCCTGGTGTCTCTTTATTCCAAATGAGCGAGCAGAGGGGTTTTATGGAATTGATCTTCTCCCTCTCCACTGTCAATTGCAGTTATGGCTGTCTTGGCTGGTAGCGAAACCAGTGACTGTTTCTGGGACAGCTGGTCCTGCTGCACTGTTCTTTCCACATGAAGGATAAGGTGACAAATTGAGAAGGCTGCCATAAAACTACCATACAGCCCTTTGATCCTTTGCACATATACTTTAGTGGATTGTATTGTTATTTTATTACACTTGTTTAAATAAGCTTGTCATTTGTCTGGTCATGGCCCCAGTCCCCCACCACTGAGGAACTGAGGAGAGGGAGAAAAAATGGATGAAAAACTACTGGCATAGTGACACTCTAGGAATTTTCCCAGTTTCTAGAGTCTTTACCATAGAGAGCAGGGGAAATCCCTAGAGCATCACCTGGAAGTGGTATCACATCTTCCCCGAACTCCACCCTACCCAGACACTGCTCTGTAAACTGCTATGAGACTCCTTTGGGTAGTGAAAGGCGGGGTATAAATCCAATCTCTTCTTCTCTTCTTCTCAAAATCTTCCAGCAACCCAATGTTTAAATATAATTTTTGTGTAAGCCTTGTTTCAGAATTTAGATTACAGTACTATAGAACTGATGCATTTAAAATGAGGTGTCATGAGTTGGTGGCCTTTGTAAGGGCAGAAAGATGGGATACAAATTTTGTAAATAAAAAATATCATAAGGAAAAATAAATACAATTCCAGATAGTCCTCATGACACTATCCCAACTAGAGAAAACTTTCCCTCAAGATAGCAGGGTGAGCTGAGGCCTGGTAAATAATTCTTAGTGATGGCAACTCTAGTTTGGGGAATTCCTGTAGATTTGGGATAGTGCCAGAGGGAATACATGTGATACCAAATTCTTCTACTTGAAGCTGTGGAGTCTGGAGATCAGTTGTAACTCCAGGAGAATTCCAGTTTGTAATGGTACAAAACATTGGTTTTTTTTGGGGGGGTGTAGGAAGGAAGAACAGAGAGAGAGGGATTCTGCTGCAGACAAGTGACGTAGGACTGTACTTACTATTTTGGATTCTTTCACTGACCAGAACAATAAAAACAGAATCAGTCAGGGAGATTGCTCTCCATAAAGTACTATGGGTCATAGAGTTGGAGAAATTGATTGTATGCTTGATAAGAACACGGACAGACAAGATCTTAAAAACAACAACTGTATATCTACATCATTTTTTTTTAGTGTATTCTAACTCTAAGGGGAACTGTAATTTATCTTTCCTATTGATCAGAGCTTGCCGAAGGCTTTTTTTCCCCTTTCCTTCTATTGTATTTCTTTTCTTTCTGTAAGGAAAATACATCCTGAAGTTTACCCTTCTACTCGAATGCCTACAGTTAGTTAATGCTTCCTACAGCTGTTGCAGTGAACTTTACAGAATGCAATTCTGCATGTGTATGACTGACTTCGTTCCCAGGTCTGCTAACAAATAGGTATCTATTATTACATTTTACTCTCCTATGAGCCCTCTAGACCTAGTTGGGGCCTAGGAACCTCCTGGAATTACAACTGGTCTCCACACAAAACAGATCAGTTCCCCTGGAGAAAATAGCTACTTTGGAAGATGGATTCTATGGCATCATACCCCACAGTGATCCCCTCGGTCCCCCAAACTCTGCCATCCCCAGAATCCACCTCTAAGGTTGCGGTCACACGTGCCAGAGAAAATGAGGGGGGGGAGCGAGGCTATTTCCTCCGGAGGAATTTGACCTGAAGTTGCACGATCACACCACCTTTTGAAACTGCAGGCACAGTCCATTTGTGTGTGATCAGATGCAACTGCGGGTGAAGTGGGGGTTTTTTGGTGCTGTTTTTTCCCCATGAGCTTAACTGAGGGATCGATGAATTGCACCTTCGCACTGAGGGCTCCCTGTGGAGTTTGCGATGATGCATATACTGTGAAGGGGGGGGGGCAATGTCACAGAGTTGGGATAGCCTGATCAGACCATCCCGACACCATGAGAGCACGCTGGAGCAATTAGACATGGCAAAGTCTGTCTGTGGCCCGTCTCAACCCGTTAACTATCAGATTTCCCCCAGTGTCTTTTAACTCTGCTTGTGCGGCGGAGCAGAATGGGTTGCTGATGGCTGTGGGGTGCTTCCCAGATGTTGTTGTCTGATCATGTCCTTTAAATCCACCCGGCATTCACACCTATGTTGGGTCTAATTGTGCGTATGATCGCAGCCTAAATCTCCAGAAATTTCCACCCCAGATTTGGCAATCCTATTTGGAACGTGTGTATTCAATCCCCCTATAAGTCTAATAGCACATTGAAATATATTTCCCATGTGTGGATATTTTTAGATAAATATTACTAAACTCATTTTTAAAACAGTGTCCTGCAGCCTGTTTAATTCTCGATGCTGAGCACAAGCCCAAACAAAAATACATTTTGAAAGGTTTAAGTGAAAGAATGATCATGATTTGTTTCACTTGTTTTCAAATGTCCTGGATTGCTTGGGGGAAGCTATAATAATGACACCTATACTGAAATATGTTTTGTGATAACATACCTTTAATATTTGTGTTTGGTGGTTGGAAATTAGGATTTGCAAGTTCCATGAAGACCTGAAATAACTGTTTTGATAAAGCAATCATCACATCTAAAATAATAAAAATAACATCGATGAATGGTAGCCATAATAATTGGTAGCCATTTTATGGTCAAACTATGACCATGAATGTCCAGACCAAAACCTAGACAAAAAGTATGAGTATGTCCATGTGCATGGGTTCTCCAGCCATGGTCCATAGGCCAAAGTCAAGTGCCTGAAGTTTAGTGAGCAGGAAGTACTACTCTGTTGACCAAGCAGTGGTAAAATAATTGAATCCAATAAAGATGGCTTGCAGCTTTCAAGAAGAGGCTGGATGAATATTTGTCAGAGATGCTTTAGACAGGTCCTGCATTGGGCAGGGGGTTGGACTAGATGGTCTATATGGCCCCTTCCAACTGTATGATTCTATGATGAAGTCAATAGGGGGACTAGATTTAGCCTTTGGGGAATGGAGTAAATTTATTCTTGCCCAGTTGTGTAAAGAGGTTAGGTATACTTTGACCCAGCTTTCTCATTAGAAGATTGAGTCTGATAGCAATATCTGCACTCAAACATCTGCACTTAAACATATGATTTGTAGCCTTCCCTGCCCAGACAGTCATTACATTGCCATGCTGATCAATAACAATCTCTTCAGATTACTGCAATGCATTCTATTTTGGGCTGCCCTTGAATGTCTTTGAAAAACTGCAAAACATGGCTGCTTGGCTATTGACAGGGGCTTCATGTTGCCAACATATTTTGTTAACAATGAACTAACTTGAAGGCAGTGTCTCATTCATTCAAACCTTCTCACTGTCTGGGAATTGTGAATCTGCTTCTCTTTATACATATCTGCCAATTTGGGTCACTGAATTAAATTTCTGTTAGGTTGTCTCAGTATGTGTTCAGTCCTTTATAGTGATGGCTCTTGCTCTTTGGAACAGACTGCTGATCAAGGTTCATTTCTCCCTCCTGTTATTCTGGTAAGCATGTAAAGGTTATTGGTCATTAGGTAAGAGTTTGGAAACCAAGCTGGGAGGGTTCTGTTTTTGCTTGAACTATGCTTGGGGATTATCTGTTCTGTGAATCCTGGATTTATCATTGATGTTTGCTATCAACATGCCATTCATTATTAGCCACTCTGGAAAGGCAGGTTATACATTTTTTAAATAAGCATTTAAGGTAAGGCTTCACATTTTTATACCAAACCTAGAAAATCTAAATATTTGATATTACCTGCCAATTGTATGGACTGATGTGATTGAAACACAGGGTGATTCCTCACGAGAGCTGCAGCACAGCTCTGTTTGCCTCGACACAAACGTGTCAATTTCACACCCGAAGTTCCGGGGCTGCATTTTGACTCGGGGCTTCGCCCGATTTCCTCTGCAGTTTCGTGATCCTGGTTTTTGAGGATCATGAAACTGTGGAGGAAATCGAGCGAAGCCCTGAGTCAAATGCAGCCCCGGAGCTTCGGGTGTGAAATTGACACGTTTGTGTCGAGGCAAACGGCGCTGTGCTGCGAGGCAGCTCTCATGAGCAGCAAGTTCGGGCAAATTTTACATTTTGCACAGTCCTTGTGCTTGTTGGTCAATTACACAAGGATTCTGAAACAGTTGCTCAATGGGAGATGTGTATCTCCCAGGCTTAGCACATGCAGATTTTTCTTCCATGCTGTTTTCTTATGCCCCTTGGAGCCCCTGTTGGCTTATTTTGTGAAATCTCATGTGACTGCATGTGAGCTTTGAAGTGAAACAATAGGGGTTCTATGGGATGGTTTAAGGAAAACAACATAAAAGGGAAGCCAACAGACACTTCTGCTCACCAGTTTGCCAGTATGACTGTGGGAGAACCCCTCTTGAACCTCTGCATCAAAGTCCTCTTGACCTCTTCTGAGAACACACAAGGAATATGTACCACAAGCAAGAACCTGCAAATACTTGTAGGGGGGGCATCTCATTTTCCCCCTCTGCTGGAGCAGACCAGCAGTCCATCTAGTCTAGCATTGTGTCTCACAAAAGTGGCCAACCAGTTCCTCAACAATATGGCATAGAAGCCAAGACCTTCCCCTGATTTTTCCTCCTGGAACTGGTATGCAGATGTTTACTACCTTTGAATGTCGAAGTTCCCTTTAGTCACCATGGCTAGTAGCTTCTGATTACCTATCCTTCATGGCTGTATCACTCACTTTTATAACCATCTATACCTGTGGCCATCATGGCATACTTTGGCAGTAAATTCCATATTTTGTTGCCACTTTTGTCCCCAAATACCCAAATTGTAGTCAACATTAAAACACCAATCAAAGAAAAAATTGCACATCAATTCAGTTTCACATTTTGGCAGGGAGTATTCTTTTGACTCTTTTCCTTATGGCTTCTTTCATCTCCTTATTCCTCAAGGTATAAATTAGGGGGTTCAGTACTGAGACACCTACATTATTCATGAGGGTGGAGATCATCTCCCGTTGTAGTGAGTCTCCTGAGGAGGGGGACAAATAGCTGAACAGAATAGGCACGTAGAGCAAAACCACAACTGTGAGGTGGGAGCTGCAGGTGGAGAAGGCCTTCCATCTTGCTTTGTGTGACTGAACCTTCAGGAAGAGAAAAGTGATGATGTAGAGGTAGGAGAGAAGCGTGAAGAAAAAAGAGAGCATGACGAGTAAACCCGTCACGATGTTGAGAAGGCTGATGTTGAGTTGGATGCTCCCACAGGCCAATCTCAGAAGTGGTTTGACATCACAGAAGAAGTGCTGGACAAGGTTGGGGCCACAAAAGTGCAATCGGGAGGTCATCACTGTGTGGATCAGTGCATGGAAGAATCCAGTGGACCAAGTGGCTGCTGCAAGAAGCAGGCAAACATGCTTGTTCATAATGATGGCATAGCGCAGAGGGTAGCATATAGCCACATAGCGGTCATAAGCCATAACTGCCAGGAGAACACCTTCAGTGCTACCTGTAAAGTGGAAGAAATGGAGCTGGGCAAGGCACCCATAAAACGAAATAGGCTGGGGCCCTGACAGAAAGCCAGCAAGCATCTTGGGCACCGTGACTGTCGCATAACAAATGTCCAAGCAGGAAAGATTGCTAAGGAAGAAATACATGGGTGAGTGCAGACAAGGCTCAGCCAGGACAACAAATACAATGAGACTGTTTCCTAACACAGTGACCACGTAGAACAGCAGAAAGAGAGGGAAGAGGAAAGGCCAAAGTCCTTGAAAATCAGTCAAGCCCAGTAAGATAAATTCGTTCATCTCTGTCTTGTTCTCCATCCCTGTTTTCACAAAAGCAAATGCTGATTAAAATCTTGAGAATGGATATAGGGGAAACTGTATATCACAGGAGCATCATTTCACTTCTAATTTATAAAAGGTAGTGATTATGTCTCCACATTACCTTTGCAATACTTGATGGTTTGTGGTTCATCTCTTCACCACTCACTCTGCCCTCTATCTATCTATCTATCTATCTATCTATCTATCTATCTATCTATCTATCTATCTATCTATCTATCTATCTATCACCTATCATTTATCATCATCTATCACCTATCATCTATAATCTATCTATCACATAGTTTTCTTATTTCCTCACCTTATATCATTTATTAATGTGCCATGTTTAGTCGCCATGCTGTTGTAGTGTATGTTGCCTCAGTAAGTAATTTAATTTGCATCAATTAAAATATGGACTCTGCATCTTCCTTCTGGCAGCAAACCTTATCCATTGAGGAGATAAAAATCCTAATGAGCAGTGGTTCCCTGGTCAGGGGGAACCTGACTTGTAGGAGGGACATGCTGAAGTACATAAACACATTCCAAGAATATTAGTACATCTTATTAACATGCTTTTCACACCCCTTTGGAGCTCACAGGATTGTTTTGTTGGATCAAAGCATGTCTCATCAGCTCCAAAAAACCTGCTTTCCAAATAGCCAGCCAGCTGCCTTAGCAAGGACTCAAACAAGGACTTGCTATAGAGTCATCATAGAGTAGTGGTTAGCATGATGTAAGACACTTAGGGAGAAACTACATGGAGAAAAGGGGGATTTAAATATCTTTATCTATATACATACACATAGTGCATTCGAACATGGAAGCTCCATTAAGTTACAACGGATAATAATTTGTGATAGACCCATCTTCCACAAATATAATGAATTTATTTTAAAAGACAGCTAAACCAGTGGTTGTTACCTACATCTTTACCTGGCTCACAGAGGGGGTGCACATCTATGATGACAGTTGTAAAAATATAATTTTAAAAAATCCTTTAATAAAACATATATACACTGTGGTCAGACTGAAAGCTTGGGGTGGTATTGGGGCTCAGCAAATCTCTTTGTTTCAATTGGGAATGGAGATTCAATTGGGAATGGAGACCACACACCAAGGCACTTTTATATCACATGGGGGCTATGGTCGATTGTTCAGTGTTACAGGGTGTTATCTATGTAGCATGTTTTGGGTTATTTTTTAAACAGTGATCCTGGCGCATACACATATGTACACAACCGAAGTGGCACCTCCGTCAGGAATTTCAGGAATCACTTCCCAGACTCCCATTAACCTATTGGCCTCTGCCTAGGTTTATGTGCACTGCAGAACAGGGGAAGACAGAATCTACCTGGAATGGATTGGTGGGTTCAGACTGCCAATCCATTTTGTGTGCACTCCCCCACATTCAGCCATCTGACCACACAAGATGAATTCACGGGCATCCATAAGCACCAGAGTTTCTGTGGTGGCTATTTACTCCATATCCAACTCGTCATATGACGGGGTGAGTACGACTGGGGAATGGCTGCCAGGTGTGGCTGTGTGCCTGAGGCCATTTAATTCAGAAGGGAACAGCAACTATATCAGGCCTAACTGCCCATCTGACCACAGCCATAGTGAGGAATATGTTAAGGAACTTCTTCAACAGAAGCCCTTGAATTTCTAAAGGGCTCTTTAAATCCATGAAATGTTCGTATTCATAGTGATTGGCGCGTTCTTTCTCTTTGTTCCTTGGATGTTTCTTTTAGAACACTCTTCTTTGAATTGTTATCTGAATGCTGAATAAGACTTACCATTCCTGTAGAATTTCTGCTGAGGGTAGAAGTCATTGGAAGACAAAGTGACTTCCAACTAAGTAAGGCTTGCTCTTGTGAATGGCTTGTTAGCAGGCTGTGCTTCCCAGAAGTCTCAGTTCAGGAGAGTCTCAGTTCAGGAGACTGAAAGACCCATGGATTTCACATAGTTCCAGAATATGTTACTAGACACAAAGACTGGGCATTGACTCTAATAAAAGGATCCTGAGAGCTAGGTACGAATGCACTGCTATAAATAAGAACTACATGATCTCCTTCTAGAATTTACAGTCACAGAAGGGTTCCCTGGGACAGATTGAATTTGGTATATGGGGAATTGGTTTCATCATCTTTGAACAAGACTAGAATTTCCCACCCCATAAGCCAGTTACTCTACATCCCTGAGCAGGGATGTGAGAATGTTTTCTATTTAATTGGTGGAAATTGCTGTCAAGTCACAGAGGACTCATAGTGTTTTCAAGCAAAGGGATGAACAGAGGTGGTTTGCCTCTGTGGGCCAGCCCTGGACTTCCTTGGTGGCCTCTCTTTCAAGTACTAATCAGGCCCAACATTGCTTAGCTTCGAAGTTCTGACAAGGTTGGGTGAGCCTTTCAAACAAAAATACATGAATCTCCAGGGGTTATTTTTTTTCTGCCTTGTGTGACTGTGAAGCTTGTTGTGAGACCTTGGAGGGAAGCGCAAACTAGTTGAGCAAAGAAGCTCCACACCTGCTTAAGCAGCCCCAAATAGAGATTGCTGTAAATCTCTAAAATCAGTGTGGTATTTTTGCCTCTCTGCTAGAAACTGGATGGGTGAAGCTGTCAATCAGCCAGTCTACTTCAGCATCCTGCATTGTGAACTATGTACCTGAGCATGGAATATATCGTCTGCCCATTAGTCAGACAATTTAAGTAGCTTAAAACAATAGTTTTTAGCCAGTCCCTACATTCTCCGTTTGTTTGTTTGCTTGTTTTACTCCCTGGAAACCAAATAGGAAAGAATTTACTGCACTTGCATGAGGAAGGTGATATGTCAGTTTAATTCAGGCAGCTTGCAGAAGGCTTGAGGCCTCTCTGTTTGGAACTGAAAAAAAATTCAGAATAGCAGACTTCTTATTAGGTAGACAGCATGTTTAAATGCAAATATTCTTTTATTGAGAGGATAGATCTAGAAGGCATTTAGGAGGCACTGTATTACTCCATGTGTTCCTTTTATGAAGCCATGTTTCAAACTACAAAGCACAGCCTGTAAAAAAATATATATATTTAAGTATAATCTTTTCTGAAGATGATAAAAAGAGCAAGCTTGCATGGCAGAGTAATCATTGGGGGGGACTCTTTCAAGAACTGCTAGAGTGTTATATGGTTTCCAACTCTGGGCTGAGAAATTCCTGGATAATTAAGAACATAAGGAGACACCAATGTTGGATCAGGCCAAAGGCCCATCTAGTTCAACACTCTGTTACACAGTGGCCAAAAATACCAGGTGCCATCAGGAGGTCCAGCAGTGGGGTAGAACCTAGGAAGGGACCTCAGTGGCTTGTAATTCTGTAGAGTTCACCCTAGAAATCCATCTTTTTCTCCAGGGAAACTGTTCTCTGTAATCTAGAGATCAGTTGTAATCCCAGGAGATTTCCTGATCCCACCTGGAAGTTGTTAGCCCTAGAAATATATAACCTTACTGAAAGGGGATTTGTATTGCTTCTTCTTCTTCTTCTTCTTCTTCTTCTTCTTCTTCTTCTTCTTCTTCTTCTTCTTCTTCTTCTTCTTCTTCTTCTTCTTCTTCTTCTTCTTCTTCTTCTTCTTCTTCTTCTTCTTCTTCTTCTTCTTCTTCTTCTTCTTCTTCTTCTTTTGCTGTCAATTCACAGCTGATTTATGGTGTCTCTGTAGGGTCCAAGGCAAGATACATTCAGAGGTGGTTTGCCATTGCTTACCTCTGTTGCAACCCTGGTATTCCTTGTATTTGGTCTCCCATCCAAATACTTGCCAGGGCCAACCTTGCTTAGCTTCTGGGATCTGACAAGATCCAACTAGTCTGGGTTATCTAGGTCAGGGTTGCTTAAAGGTAGGTTTATAAACAACCTTAGGTAGGTAGGCCTGTGGGAGTCTTAAACTTGGGTAGTGGTTTAGTCTCCCATTAAAGGAGCAGATGCAACTTGCTTTCCAAGTTAGATCAGGATACTGTTGTCTGACTTTTCACCTGGCATTCCCTGCCACACAGAGCAATGCCTTACTCCCCTGCAAGCAGGAGCCTTTATCTTCCCCTGCACTCATCAAAGATGATAACTCTATACAACCATACTGCCCTTGGCCATTGCTCTATTCAAAATGTGTGTCCATGTTTAATTAATTTTTGCCAAGGGCAGTATGGTTATATAGATAGGTGTGGACTCCTCAATGTGTGCAGGCCTGATTGACATCAATGCTTTATTATTTGGAGCTACACTATTTAGTTGAGTCACACACAACCTGCCTGGTCTGGAACAGATACCTTATACTTTCTAGTTATGTTGTCATTATTTAGACTACTGAAGAAGGTCCTCTGGGCCAAAATGTATTTGGTCTAGTTATTCTGTGTAACTAATGTTTTGGTCTTAGTTACTGTATGTGCAATTTGCATGTGTTGCTGTATGCTATGTGGTGGTAATGTGATTCTATCTCATGGTTTTCATCTATGTTTTGGATCTATATTTACTGTGTGCTTTGCAATTAATAGATGTATCTTATTCTTTTGTTTAGTCACTCAACCTTCTAGGTTCCTGACTTGGGTTGAATTCCCCTCCCCCCTTTGCTGTTTCTCAGTATAAGGCACCTTCATGTGTTCCTCTTGCCATGTTCAAAGGTAACAATCACATGTGAGCCAATCACTCTGTTTGTTTCATGCCAATCCTCAGCAAATGCCTGTCCAACTGATTTGCATCCGGCTTTCATAAAACTGCATATGCACAAAGATGCTGATGATTGGTGGACACTAGCAACAATAAGGATTACACAGACAATCACTGAAAGGTCAGATGTTATTGAAACACAGTATTTATTGATAGATTCAGGTGGGTAGACATGATGGTTTGAAGCAACAGAACAAAGTATGAGTCCAGTGGCACCTTTAAGACCAACAAAGTTTAATTCTGAGTATAAGCTTTCATGTTCATGTATCTGAAGTGTGCATTCACACAAAAGCTTATACCCAGAATTAAACTTT